TCGTCGAATTGAAATATTAAATATCAGTTAAAATATATTAAATATTAAATTTGCATGAATTCGAAAAACTTGAATTTTTGTCAGCGAATTCTCCAAATTCGAATTTTTCGCAGTGAATTCAAAAAATTGTAATATTCATCTGTAAATTTACGAAATTTGTATTTTCGACAGTAGATTCTAAAAACTTCATTGTATTCGTCTGTAAATTCTCTAAATTTGAATTTTCATCAGTATGCTCCTCAAATTTGAATTTTTATCAATAAATTCTAACAGTTCGAATGTTCGCCAGCTAATTCGAAAAATGATCATTCTCCTCAGTAAATTCTACAAGTTCGACCGTTCATCTTTAAATCCCAAAGATTTGAATATTCATCGGCAAACTTTCCGCGCAGAATTTTTATTTCCGTAACTGTCAGCTAAAACGTTGGATTTTATACCGTCCAGAGGGGAAAACATCTAGGACTCAGACTTCGCACCGCCCAGCCTCGAACCTAATTCGGGCCTGTCACGTGTCCAGAGCTAATTGCAGCACAATCAAGGTCCAGCCTGGACCAGTTCCGTTAGTTCTTGCCGCAGAAACCCGCAGCGACGGTCGATTTCGACGTCGTCATCGTCGTCGTTCGACGACCATTTGTTACGGACTTTCACGCGGAGCCGCCGAAAACCCGCTAGGAGGCCGGCATTATCAAAAATTCATATTCTAGAAAGTCGAGCCGAGCCGCGCGCGATCCCGCGTGATCGTGAAAGTTACACAACGTTTATTTGAATTCGTCGGGAGAAACTAGGCGGTCGTGACGAATGAAGAACGTCGTCGTCGCCGGTGCAACTGTCACCAATTAAACGGGGATGATTCATTTGACCGATCGCCGGATACACGCGCGCGCACGAATTTAACGGCGGCGTGTCCCGGCGGTCGGAGCGCGAATTAGGAAATATTGTCTACGGGAAACGTAAACACTCGGCCCGCTCGGGACTTAGCCAGGCATTTGGAACACCGCCGGTGAAAGTGCCGCCGTTTATCTCGTTGATCGTAGAATATATTCGGATCGGTCTTTTTCCCTTGCTCGGGAGAGGAAAATCTTGCGATTTCACTTGCAATTGGACCCCGCAGTCAGCTGTTACAATATTTTTATTTGAGAAATTAAACGGTAATTATTCTTGGAGCAAGCTGCTCCGATTTCAAAGACCGAAAAGAATGATGGTGAAAATGTAATTCTGAATATCTTTTTTTTCTATGTAAAAGGGCGTCATGGTTGTCTTGACTTCGAACCAAAACTTAATCCACAGTTAAACCAGATTTAATCTAGATTTAATACAGGCTTAAATTAGACTTAATCCAAACTTTAATCCAGACCTACACCAGAGCTAAATCAGATTTAATACACAGGCTTTATCCAGACTTAAACCAGACTTAAACCAGACTTGAACCAGAGTTAAACCAGACTTAATCCAGACTTAAAACAGATTTAAGCCAGAAAAAGCAGACATAAAGCAGACTTAAACCAGACATAAACCAGACTTAATCCAATCTTAATCCTGACTTAATTCAAAGTTAATACAGATTTAATACAGACTTAAACCAGACTTAATCCAGACAAAGCAGACATAAAGCAGACTTAAACCGGAGTTAGTTCAAATTTTAATCCAGAATAAAGCAGACTTTAACCTGGGCTAAACCAAACCTAATCAAGACTTAATCAAGGTTTAATCCAGACATAAATCAGGCATAAATCAGGCTTATATTAGGGTTAAACCAGACTTAATCCAGGCTTAAATCGGATCTAAACCAGACTTAAACCATATTTAAATCACACTTAATTCAGGCTTTTATCCAGACATAAATCAGAGTTAAACCTGGATTAAACCAGATTTTATCCAGACTTGAATCAGATCTAAACCAGACTTAAAGCAGATTTAATCCAGATTTAATTCAGACTTAAATCAGATTTAATCCGGACAACACCAGACTCAATTCAGACGTAAATAATATATAAAGCAGACTTGAACCAGATTTCATCCAGACTTAAGCCAGACTTAATCCAGACTTAACCTAGACATAAATCTATCTAGCCTAGATTCAAGCAAGACAAAAATTATCAGTAGACTACGGATTATCATATAAAATAAAAATTGTCACTATTAGTTGCAAGATGAATCACGTAGACGTTTATATCCTCTTCAAATTATTTCAGTAAGTTGATAGTAATGTATTGGGTTAGTCAATAAGTCATTGCTTTTGTTTCCCAATAGATTGCGACAGAGAGAAACGCAATGACTTATTGGTCAACCATCACTAATAATACAATAATACCATGGTAATACCATCACATTGCTCAAATATGTTTTTGCTACTTCGAATTCGATCATTCTTATCACTATAATGCGGATCTGATGCATTTACGAGAGGATTATGTACATAGGCCGAGAAAAAAACAGGAAAGACATTCGACGGATTTATGGACAGTGTTACATTAATTTCAACCTACTATTACAACCATTAAAAGAGAAAAGGCATTTTCACTCGATTCGTGTTTCTCTCGCACCGGATTTCCACAATTTCTATTTTGCACATCGATCCGCGAGCCGACTTATCAGAAACGCATAAAATCCTCGGTCCGATCGTTGCTTTCTAAGTCGATTTTCATCTCTCGACGTACTCGTTCGAGCGAGTCGGCGAACTACGAAAATAAGAAGACGCGTCCACGGGAATCGCGAGCTTTCACATTTAGTCACATTAAATTCATTGAATTACACGCGCGTTAATTCGCGCGCGGGTCGCGTGCTCGCTTCCGGCATCGCGTCGACGAAACAAACGTCGCGCGCGACCCGCGGTTTCCAAAGTGGGAAAAGATCTCTTCCTTGATAGCAGGCCCATTGGCTCGGCGAACTGGAAAAGAAGAAGAAGAAGAAAAAACCTCCATGCAACGTTTCCTCGCGATCAATTCCCGCGCCTCGTAACGCCGGAACTGTGCCATTGTGTCGGCCGGGAAATGTTATCGTTCGAAGCGCGCGAATTGCGATTATGAGAGGGAAACGGTCGCGCACGGAATGATCGTCTGCGACCGATAAGTCTTTCTTGCGTTGCACGGTGGCCCGAGGTTGCATCATCTTGCTGTAAAACCTGTCGAAGTTTTTAGCGAAAAGTCAGCCATTTGTGACCGATAAGCATAATACGTGCATAAAATAACAAAATATACTTGCTGATATTCGTGAGAATATAATTAGGACTGGCATTCTTTTTGTTCTGCACGAAATAATCATAATAATCAGTCTGACTTGATATTTATATCAATATATAATAATTATTATATTATTATATATATATTGTTGCACATTAACATATTATCATACTAGCATACTCTCAAACTATCTTACCACCATACTATCATAATACCATACTACCGTACTATTATACTGTCAAACTATCATACTATAATACTATCATACGATCATACCATCACACTGTTATACTGTCATACTATCATACTATCGTACTATCATACTATCATACTATCATACTATCATACATACATACTGTTATACTGTTACACTATCATACCGTCATACTATCATATCATCGTACCATCATATTATCATGCTGTCATACTATCATACTATCATATCATCGTACCATCATATTATCATGCTGTCATATCATCGTACTATCATACCATCATACTATCATACTATCATATCGTACCATCATACTATCATACCATCATACTATCATATTACTATGTTTTATATATTAATATTATTTATCTTGTAGTAAATTTGTCCTTGCTTCCATCATAAAATTATCAGACAATCTTCGGATTTCAAGGTATCAAAGTGTGTTCAAGTCAGAGATAAAAACAATCCTGAAATATCAGAGCCGTTCTCCGTTGTGAGTTCGTACATTGCACCCGGCGAATTCGCTGGAATCGAGGAGAAGAGGCGACGACCAGGCAATACCAGTTTTCGGGCGCGAACGATTCTTTGTCCCGTGTTTTTATTCCGGTGCCACCGCACCCGGGCCGCGCCGTAAATCCCGGCCTTTAACGGAAAAGAATTAATTACTCGGCAGTCAGGCACGGATGGATTCACGTTCCATGCCAGCGCATATGCGCCGCGTTTTAATCGCGTTATGATATAGTATCGGTCGTATGGTGTACCGTAATTCGGAATTAGTCGTGGGTTATTAACGAGGCTGATTAATTTAATGACTTTATGCCGAAGCTGTTAGCGTTTTCGTTCGGAATACTAATTGGTACTGTTAGGCGCCTCTCTCTCTTATCGCGTCGGGCAATTAAGATTCACGTGGAGGCCACGAGATGTCGCAGCCACGCTGAACGGTTAGGGTAATTGCGGCTGGGATGGATCATATTTTTCTAAGCGATCTGTGGATCGTGAATGTAATTAATATTTAAATGAGGGAAAAATATCGATGTTCGCGAACGTAGATACAGACTTATAACATTGGGGAACAAAATTGAAAATAATTACGTGGTTTGATTTGACAAAAATTATAATTCTGTGCATAATAACGGATTTTTGCAAAAGTACAAATTTTTACAAAATTGCAAATTTTTGCAAAAGTACAAATTTTTGCAAACGTTCAAATTTTCGTAAAAGTACAAATTTTTGCAAAAATACGAATTTTGGCAAAGATACAAATTTTTGCAAAAGTACAGATTTTTGCAAAGATACAAATTGTTGCAAAAGTATCGATTTTTGCAAATATACAATTTTTGGCAAATTTTTACAAAAATACAGATTTTTGCAGAGTTGCAAATTGTTGCAAAAGTATCGATTTTTGCAAATATACAATTTTTTGCAAATTTTTACAAAAATACAGATTTTTGAAAACGTTCAATTTTTTGCAAAAAATACAGATTATTGCAAAAGTACAAATTTTCGCAAATATACGGAGTTTCTCAAAGTATGCTTCGAATTAATGCACGAGCTCGTAATGACAATGAGTTTGCAGGACATGATGATTATAGTGTTTTGTTCTCTAGGCAGTTGTGCTACTATCCTCGATTAATGTCAGTACTGAGGAGGACCTGAAAGAAGATGCGGACATCAACGACCGTAAAGAAGACAACGTGACGACTGTCGCGTCTGTCAAGGTTACCAGTGAGCAGCTGAAGAACAGGACGACGAAGATTTCGGTGCGCTGAAGAGTATTTTTAATTATTGGAAATTCTAATTATTAGACTGCGGATATTTGTGCAAAATAAAAATTGCCAACATCAATTGTACTAAAAAAGAGTTAAATAAAGATGTATTTCTTCTTTCAATATTTTCAACCCATTGAAAATAGTGTGACATGATCTTTACATTCTTCTGTCTTCACTGTTTTGTATTCAATTCGTCCATTTTTGCCATGAATGCATAGAATCTACAGTCTATTAATTATAATTCAAAGAATTCGACGAAATATTGAGTCACAGTCTAAATATTGAGTCGTAAATAACATTCATTTCTTTGTTATACATTTATTTTGTTATTTTTCTCTTATTATATTGTTTTCGTTTGTTTATTTTATTTATTTTAAACCCTTATTTATCTAGTGAAAGCAAAAGTTCATTTGTCCTGGTGAGTTACAATAGATAGATACGAGTAATATATGGTGCCCCAAAAGTTACTCAAAATTAGGAAACAGGTTCTCGAGGCCATTTGAAGCAACTTTTTCCTCAGCGAAAATGTTCTACGAAGCTTCGTTTACGAGTTATTAACGAAAAACGGTGACCAATGAGAGGCGAGCGCGGCTGGCGCCAGGCGGCGAAGTCAACGAGCGGAGCCGGGCGCCGACCGCTGGTTGGCGCGGTCGCCTAGCTCTAGCCGCGCTCGCCTCTCATTGGCCAGTGTTGTTTCGTTAATAACTCGTAAACGAAGCGTCGTAGAACATTTTCGCAAAGGAAAAAGTTGCTTCAAATGACCTCAGGAATCTCTCATTTCCCGATTTTGAGCAACTTAGCAGCTTTTGCTTTTCCCTAGCTAGGAAAATAAGCCAGAAAAAGAGATTAGATTTAATAAATATTAATTAATAAATATTATACAATTCAGGAAAAAGAGATTTAGATAAAACGCTATTTATAACTCAACTAAATATAAATGTTTTTTATCTTTCGCTTTTGAAAAGGTTCGATCGTCCACTAGCAACGAGACTCGTCAGAGCTCCGGCCGAGGACTGGTGCTGCCGCTCAGCTCGGAGATCGGAAAGGTGATCGCGGAGGATGCAACTGGCGACGAAGAGGTGCCGGAAGAATTGCCCGAGGTAAAAAGAAAATTGGCGCTCGTGCGTCAGCGATGATCGCGACGACGCTGATTTCATGAGGAAAGCAACCTATTTTGACGCGGTCTTATCGTTCGGATATGTTTTCACGGCCGTCGACTTTCCTCGTAATGAATGGTCTTCGATGGAGCTTACAGTCACCTCATTAAACAGAAATTGCGGATCGCGAACGGCGCGCAGGAACCTCGGAGACCGCTGAGTCAATATTAGCAGAATGTAACGAAGCGCGAACGATTGACGTCTGTTTGCCTTCTCGCACAAAAGATCGCTAGAAAGTCCGTTCGGGGACTTTTCTCCGCGATAAATCGCGGGGAAATTTTTCTACTCGGCTCCGCGAACAGACGCGCTTCTATTCAAACTCCACCGATGATGGTTGCTTTCCGAACGCGGTTTTATACGGGGGCCCAAAATGACTATTTAGAATAAATTAATAATTCAGACAAGGGTCTTGCCATCTGCGGATGGAATTATATAGGGTGGGCCATGGAACACGATCAGCTTAATAATTCATTGATTATTTAATCACTTATTATTTAATCATTTATTTAGCGATCATTGGGCTCATCCAGAGCTTTGGCAATGAGGCCCAATCTAGGTCTCGATTATGCCTGATGGAATTATACTAGGTGGAACATGGAACGCGACCAGCTTAATAATTCATTGATTATTTAATCATTTATTTAGCGATCATTGGGCCTATCCAGAGCTTTAGCAATGGGGCCCAATCTAGGTCCCGATTATGCCGGATGAAATTATACAGAGTGGACCATGGAACACGATCAACATAATAATTTATTGTTTATTTAATCACTTATTATTTAATCATTTATTTAGCGATCATTGGGTCCATCCAGAGCTTTGGCAATGGGGCCCAATCTAGGTCTCGATTATGCTTGATGGAATTATACAGAGTGGACCATGGAACACGATCAGCTTAATAATTCATTGATTATTTAATCACTTATTATTTAATCATTTATTTAGCGATTATTGGGCCCATCCGGAGCTTTAGCAATGGGACTCATCCGTTACAAATTATCACCTGGTATAAGTTATAATTTCCGTCATTAGTAATGACTACACTGCGGATATTTATGCGACATGAAAGTCATCTTAGTTAGTTGTAATAAATATAAATTAGATGAAAATATCTTTTCTTTCTTCAAAATCTCAATTAGTTGGTTTGGTGAAGAAATAAAAAGAAAGGACTAGCTTAGGATTGCGTTAGCTCTGAATTAGATATGGTATTGTGTTGGGTCCTGGACCAATAAGTACTGGACGTCTTGAAGACGTCCATTTTACGTCCAGTTTAGGTCTGAACGTCATACGCCCTAAAACGAACGTCTTTAAGACGTCGTTCAGACGTCTATAGAACGTCTTAAAGACGTCTACAGGACTTCATTTTAGTGTCTTAAAGACGTCCCGAATGTCCTACGAATGACCTACGAACGGCTTAGAAACATCCCGTGTTACAAATCAAGACGTTTTATAGACATCTTAAAGTCCTGTAGATGCCTGAATGACGTCTAGAAAATCAACTTTTTCATACAAATTGTTAACTTTAGCGTCTTAAAGACGTTCCGAATGTCCTACGAACGGCCTAGGAACGGCTTAAAAACATCCTGTATTACAAAGCAAGACTTCTTATGGACGTTTTTAAGACGTCTTAACGACATCTTAAAGACGTCTACGGGACGTTTAAAAAGAACGTCAAAAATATCTGACCTCGAAAAATCTGGTCAAGGACAGCTTTGCGAAAAATTTTGTCCAAAGATCTAAGGTTAACTTTCTTTCGCAACAGGCCCAAGAGCTGAAGATCGTCAGGCCCAATTTGAGGAAGCGTCCAGTCTATCGAGCGCCACCGCCGCGAAGGCCGTCGCCGACGAATCGAAGAAACGTATACACAGGTCGATGTCCGACGAATCGAATCGTACGAAATCAACGATTCTCAAATAATCGCCGTATGAACGAACACGTTTGTTTACAGATCTGACGAGGACGCCGTTGATCAGGCCGCCGCGGCGGCCGGACTCGCGGAGGGACCCCACCGAGAAGGAGTGCACTTTCTTCACGAAGACGGTGTGCCTCGAGGCGGCCGATTATCCGCAGTGAGTCCGCCGCGTCCACCGCGTTTTTCCACCCAATTTCACCGGAACCGAGCGCGTGCACGATTGTGCAACCGTTCTCCCTCAGCCTAATTCCCAAATGCACTTTCTCTAATACGACGACGACAACGACGACGATGACAACCGTCTCATCAATTAGGCGGCCGCGGTCTCACGATGGCAGAACGACGTAATTCGCGGCCCGTCGAACCGGAAGAAAGCCGGCGCGGCCGCGGAATTCGCGGGCTCGTTGCGCAATCGACGCGCGCCGCGTGCAACAATTTTCCGTCGTCGATCGAGCAGCGTGGAAGTTCGCGCCGCCGCGACGGAAAAGGTGCTGCGGAATCGGTGAAAGCGGTGACTTTCGTTTCCGGCCGCGTCGCGCGAATTTGAATTTCCGCGGGGAACAATACCGCCGCGGACAATGGACCACGCGCGGCGTAAATTGTCCGAGCGTGTTACAATGGCTTCGGCGGCGATCGTTCGGAATTGTTTCCACGAATTATTAGGACGAGTCGTAAATAACTTCGGTTCTTTTGTCGGACTCTTTTTTTTATATTTATTCTTTTGATTTTTGTTTTGTTTAGTTGCAACTTTTTTCTATTTAGTGAAAGCAAACGCTTGTTTGTTTTTGCTCAAATTTATCAGAATTCATTTATTTTAATTATTATATAATATAATAATAATATATAATAATATATAATATTAATTATATTAGGTATGTGTCATTGATAGGAAGAATTTTAATTTAAAATTTAGCAGAAATCATTAAGTTTAAATATTAAATAATATAATAATAATAATATATAATAATTATTATATTAGGTTTGTGTAATTGATAGAATGAATTTTAATTTAAAATTGAGGTATCGAATTTAAAATTTAGCAGAATTCATTAATATTAATTATCATATAATATCTAGCGAGGCAATAATCAGGAGCTTGAGGAGCAACAAAGAAATGGTCGCAGCGTTGCTGACCGACTACAAGGCGCAGGATTTCGACGATTCCGGTGAAAGCATATCGGCCCCTTCGTCCTACGAGAATAGATACGATGGACGGTACGAGCATCGATTCGAGAGTAATGAAATCCGACGGTAAAGTTTATAATAATTAATAACTTATATCAACAATGGAACACTTGCAATTATTATTACTGATGGTAATACGATAAATAATCGTAATAATCGTGAATCAAATTGTTCGATTTTCTTTCGGGCAATTCTTAAGTTAAAGAAAATTAATGATAAGATAATCTGTGGAATAATTAATGCTAGCACTAGTCAGCGGATTTTACGCATTTATAGAAAAAGTTGCAATTGTCATCAATTTAATGTCATTACAAATTTAATGATTTGTACTACTACAAGACAAAGATAATTTTGGTCTACTAAATTTAAATACAAAATTATTTCATTCCATGATTTTACAACCTTTTAAATTAATTATCAAATTTATAATAATAATTCTATTTAATCAATTAAAATCATTTAGTGTTACTCATGATCACCTTTACAAATTTAATGATATTTTTTACTATGACAAAGCAATAGTAATTATAACTTATTAAATTACATTTCAATTGTATTTATAGTTTGCATATTTTCAATTGCATTTATAATTGCAATTTTAAATGGTAGAAAGACCAAAGGAATTAAAAAATGTCGACACATTATTTTTGTTGTATTAGAGTGATTAAAGAATGAATAAACTTGTTATTTAATTTATATTTCTTGCAAATTGATGCGGGCAATATTTACGTTCCATAAAAATCCGCAGTTTATTATTCACTTTTCTTCTACCTTCTCCGTCATAAATTCAATCCAGCACCCAGGTGGCTCCTGCACAATGTGCGCAATGCTAATTTTGGTACACGCGTGCGCGGCGTGTTGCAGCAGATCAGGCGTACTGCAACGACAAATAACTGTTACAGGCGGTCCGACACCAGCTCGTCGTTCGAGAACGTCGAGGAAGGCTTCACCTGTCCCTCGACCATCAAATACGCGCGGCCTCAGCTTGCAAGAGCAGCATCAGGAATTTGGAAATATATAATCAACACTGGCGAGCATACACAAACCTTGCGACTGGAGAAGTGTTCGTAAGTAGAAGACCCAATAAAAAATCAGAAACTCAATCATTGCGATCGTTTTTTCTACTGTAAATTTCCCTAATTGACGATCAGTTTGGAAACAAAAATGGACAATTTGGCAAGAGGAGGAACGATTAATCGAGCCTTGACGGCTCGTTTGTATAACTGTTGACAAACGGCGACTATTTAGATAAATGAAGTACAAATAAATGGAGTTCAGATAAATGGAGTCCAAATGAATGGAGACCAGATAAACGAAGTCTAGATAAACGAAGCCCAGACAAATGAAGACCTGATAAACGGAATCCAAATAAATGAAGTCTAGATAAATGAAATGCAGACAAATGGAAATCAGATAAACGGAATCCAAATAAATGAAATCTAGATAAATGAAGTCCAGACAAATGGAGACCAGATAAATGGAGTTCCAATAAACGGAGTCCAAGTAAATGAAGTCCAGATAAACGAAGTTCAGGGAAATGGAGACAAGATAAATGAAGTACAGCTAAACGGAGTCCAAATAAATGAAGTCTAGATAAACGAAGTCCAGTCATATGAAGACCTCATAAATGGAATCCAAATAAATGAAGTCTGGATAAATGAAGTGCGGCAAATGGAAATCAGATAAACGGAATCCAAATAAATGAAATCTAGATAAATGAAGTCCAGACAAATGGAGACCAGATAAATGGAATTCTAATAAATGGAGTCCAAGTAAATGAAGTCCAGATAAACGAAGTCTAGGAGAATGGAGTTCAGATATGTGAAGTCTATATAAATTAAGTCTAGATAAACGAAATCCAGACAAATCAGAATCTGATAAACGGAATCCAAATAATGAAGTCTAGATACATGATGTCCAGACAAATGGAGACCAGACAAAAGGAGTTCAAATAAATGGAGTCTAAGTAAATGAAGACCAGATAAACGAAGTTCCGGGAAATTGAGTTCAGGTAAATGAAGTACAAATAAATAAAGTCTAGACAAATGAAGACCTGATAAACGGAATTCAAATAAATGAATTCTAGATAAACGAAGTATAGATAAATGGAGATCAGATAAATGGAGTTCTAATAAATGGAGTCTAAGTAAATGAAGACCAGATAAACGAAGTTCAGGGAAATTGAGTTCAGATAAATGAAGTACAAATAAATAAAGTCTAGACAAATGAAGACCTGATAAACGGAATTCAAATAAATGAATTCTAGATAAACGAAGTCTAGATAAATGGAGATCAGATAAATGGAGTTCTAATAAATGGAGTCCAAGTAAACGAAGTCCAGGAAAATTGAGTTCAGATAAATGAAGTGCAGAACAAATGAAGACCTGATAAACGGAATTCAAATAAATGAATTCTATATAAACGAAGTCCAGACAAATGGAGGCTAGATAAATGGGAGTTCAAATAAATGGAGTCCAAATAAAAGAAGTTCAGATAAATGAAGTCCAGAAAGATGGAGTTCTAATAAATGGAGTTCACGTAAACGAAAACCAAATAAATAGATAAATAAATATAAATGAAGTCCAGATAAATGAAAGCCAAATAAATGAAGTCTAGATAGATAAAGTCCAGACAAATGGAGACCAGCTAAATGGAGTACAAATAAATGGGGACCGGATAAATGAAGCCCAGATAAATGGAATCCAAATAAAAGAAGTCCAGGCAAATGAAGTCCAGGAAAATGCAGTTCCAATAAATAGAGTCTAAGTAAATGAAATCTCGATAAATGAAGTCTAGGAAAATTGAGTTCAGATAAATGAAGTGCAAGTAAATGAAGTCTAGATAAACGAAGTTCAGACAAATGGAGACAAGATAAATGAAGTACGGATAAACGGAGTCCAAATAAATGAAGTCTAGATAAACGAAGGCCAGACATATGAAGACCTGATAAACGGAATCCAAATAAATGAAGTCTGGATAAATGAAGTGCGGGCAAATGTAAATCAGATAAACGGAATCCAAATAAATGAAGTCTAGATAAATGAAGTTCAGACAAATGAAGACCTGATAAACGGAATTCAAATAAATGAATTCTAGATAAACAAAGTCCAGATAGATGGAGTTCTAATGAATGGAGTCCAAGTAAATGAAGTGCAGATAAACGAAGTCCAGGAAAATTGAGTTCAGATAAATGAAGTCTAGATAAACGAAGTCCAGACAAATGGAGGCTAGTTCAATGGGAGTTCAAATAAATGAAGTCCAAATAAAAGAAGTTCAGATAAATGAAGTCCAGGAAGATGGAGTCCTAATAAATGGAGTTCATGTAAACGAAAACCAAATAAATAGATACATTAATATAAATGATGACCAGATAAATGGAATCCAAATAAATCAAGTCTAGATAAATAAAGTCCAGACAAATGGAGACCAGCTAAATGGAGTCCAAATAAATTGGGACCGGATAAATGAAGTCCAGATAAATGGAATCCAAATAAAAGAATTCCAGACAAATGCAGTCCACCTAAATGGAAACCAGATAAGGCTCGAATAATCGCGTCTCCTCTCCCCAAATTATCCACTTTCGTTTCCAAGCCGAGCGTCAATTAGAGAAAACTTACTATACCTCGACTCCCGGAATCCGATTCACTTCGCACTTTCCGAAGAACCGGAAGAAAGGCGAAGTATCTCAATTTTGCTGCCGCGAAGAGCGGTCGGTCCGTCGCGGATCGGTGAACAGAATATCTGCTCGGCGAAGAACAATTTGTGGTGACGGTATCGAGAGACGCCCTTTACTTCTCTCCAAGCTTCTCTCGACGCTTTCCGCCGCGGTTTCCTCGTGGAACCGCGCGACCCGAGGAATTCAAATCGACCGCGGATTCTGTTCCAGGACCACTCAGTCAAGCTGTTCTTTCATCTCCGAGAACTATCGATCGTCCTGCGTGCAGGTGTACAACTACCATCGGCTGCTCACTTGGGACAACAAGCTCGGCCTACACATGGACATATTCAAGGTGCCGTCCTGCTGCAGCTGCCACGTGCACGGTTACGCGGATCTGTTCCCGCCGCTTCAGAAGGACCCGTCCCCGAAGCTGAAGGAATCGTTCCCGGGCTCCGATTTCATGACGAACAGCGAGCAAAAGGAGGACTACGAGGATGTCTCTAAACTGAGCTATTTGAACAAGTTCGCGTCGAGCTTCGACACATCCCTTGGTACGATTTTCCTCGGCATGGAATGTACAGGGTGATTCGCTGAAGCTGTTGCGTAACAATATTATATATATAAACAAGAAATATAAGTATAATAATAAAATAAATAAAAAGTAAAAGAAAGTAAAAGAAAATAAATAAAGTAAAATAATACAGTAAAATAAGTAAAATAAAGGAAAATAATGGAAAATAAAGGAAAATAAAGGTAAATAAAGGAAAATAAAAAAATATAAAGTAAAATTAAGTAAAATAAATGAAAATAAAGTGAAATAAAGTAAAATAAAGTAATATAAAGGAAAATAAAGGAAAATAAAGCAAAATAAAGCAAAATAAAGCAAAATAAAGCAAAATAAAGCAAAATAAGGCAAAATAAAGCAAAATAAAGCAAAATAAAGTAAAATAAAGTAAAATAAAGTAAAATAAAGCAAAATAAAATAAAATAAAGTAAAATAAACTAAAATAAAGCAAAATAAAGTAAAATAAAGCAAAATAAAGTAAAATAAAGCAAAATAAAATAAAATAAAGCAAAATAAAATAAAATAAAGTTAAATAAACTAAAGTAAAGCAAAATAAAGCAAAGTAAAGCAAAATAAAATAAAATAAAGTAAAATAAAGTAAAATAAAGCAAAATAAAGTAAAGTAAAGCAAAATAAAGCAAAGTAAAGCAAAATAAAGCAAAAGAAAGTAAAACAAAGCCAAACAAAGCAAAACAAAGTAAAATAAAGTATATATTATGTAATGAACAGTAACAGCTTTAGCGAATCATTCTGCATATCATCCTCTAGAATGAAGACTAACGTTCGCTTCCGTCCGTCAGGTGGGAGCAACAAAAAGCCCCTGGAGATCCAGCCGAGCCGAACGTCCGTCTCCCTGCCGGTGAGGCCCAGGCCGAAGAAGCCTTCCTCTTCGGGTTCGAGGCCCTTCGACAACAAGCTGCCGCAGCAACACGCGCCGAACACGCGGGCTCCGGGTTACACGGGCCCGCTCTCGAAGGGACCAAGGCCCAGCCGACCGAGTCGACCGCCGTTCAGACGGGAGTCGACGTTGCACGTCGAGGAAAGCAACGCGGAACCGGCCGGTAACAGTTCGCTCGGAAACAGGTAATCGCAAAAACAAAGCGACGGGCTATGAATGCCGGCTGTGTGAAATTAGGTGTCCGATCGGGCCGCGGTGAACGAGCCTTTTTTCGGCGCAGGTTCAGCCAGCCGTACGATCTCGACGTGGACGCGTCGTCGCGGCTGCAGAACGGCGGCTTCGACGACGAGTACCAGGAGCCGCAGAGGCGGGTCAATTACAATTACCATCCGATCATCGACTTCTTCAGACCGGAGGCCTCGATGCTGCTTTCGGCCGAGTCCAAGCCGGCACCGGCCACCGACGACACGAACTCGTGGAAACCGGTGATCGCGTCCTAAGCGACGATTCGTTCCCTTCGGAGTACCTGATCGTATCTACTGTTAATTAAGACGACGCGATTTGTCGCCGTTCGACCGGTCGCGAGCGCGACGTTTACTCGGAGCGCGCTGTTCAGAGCCGGCGAGAAGAAGCGAAGGCTGCGCTGGCCTTATCTTCCGCGCATCTGCTTGGCCGTTTTCGCGGAGCAGTAAAAATAAAATAAAGTAATTATAAATAAATATAAATATATATTATAATAAAAGAAATAAAATACCGACATCATGGTCAATGTAGGAAACAGTAACGGATTTAATTGAAAATTTATATGTAAGGGTTTTTATGATCGCGGATCCAATATGGCGGATGGGTTTTTGAAAAAATTATTCGATTTTCACGAAAATTGGTATATCTATATTTTCGGACGTTGTGATTACGAATCTGAATTTCGATTTTGGAAAAACAAAATGGCGGATCCAATATGGCGGACGTGTTTTTGAGAAAATGAATCGATTTTCACGAAAATTAGTATACCTATATTTTCGGGAATTCTAATTACGAATCTGAATTTCGATTTTGGAAAAACAAAATGGCGGATCCGATATGGTGGATGAGTTTTCGATAAAATGATTCGATTTTCACGAAAATTGGTATACTTATATTTTCAGAAATTCTAATTACGAATCTGGATTTCGAATTCGAAAAAAACAAAATGGTGGATGCAATATGGGCGGATGAGTTTTTGAAAAAATAATTCGATTTTCACGAAAATTGGTGTACGTATATTTTCAGAAATTCTGTTTGCGAATCTGAATTTAGAATATAAAAAAACAAAATGGCGGACAACCAATCGAAGCCGCATTCTTTACAGACGTCTTCTCGTCGGCTCCGAACAGTAGCATCTTGAAAAGTGTTCGACTATAAATCAACGAGTTGTATCGACGTTGTTTGTACTGGACTGCTCGGTAGAACGTTAGTGAGCGTTCAATGCCTGTAGAAGTATTATGGTCGCGCGGGGCAGGTGCAATCGCGAGCCAATTGTAATTATGTAATATTCTACGAAACGTGTTCTATTTATTATACTTGTGGGGATTGATATTTTAGAAGGTCCGTGTCGGCAAATAAACGCAACGACTCCCTAATTTTTACGTTTCACGCAATACTCCATCCGATCTGACGCCACGTTGTCTCCGTACAGAGTATGTTCTAGCCTCTGCGAGGCCTTCTTCTAGCTACATTGCGTCTGTCGTATCTTTTTATACCGGATGAGTCATAAATTAATTCTCACGATTTTTCAGCCCTTTGCAATGGTCTGACAAAAAAATATTTTTCAATATTTGTCAATATATTATTTAACCGACAAGAAATTGCAATCGTTTATATTTACAAATAAATTGATTTTCGATAAAACAAGCAAGGTCACCGTTACATTAAAAAAAAATTATATAAAACCAAACATTGTGGCAATCGATTCACGGCAATTTCTCCTTCAATGTCATCTCAAGGTCATCGTGTAGCAGGTCGTTGAATTCGTCTCAACGTCGTCTACAATACCACGAACTTTAAATTACATGGTCCCATTTAAAAATATAACGGTAACCTTGTTTTATAATCGAAAATCAATTTGTTCTAAAATTTAAGAAATTGCAATTTCTTGCTCGCTAAACACCGATTAACTTTTATAGGAAACTTTTTTTTGTCAGACTAACGAAGGGACTGAAAAATCGTGGGGACTAATATTTGTGAATCACCTTGTATACATATGTATTGTGTTTATTATATCTTCTCATAGCTGTATTGTCTCTGTGCTATCTTCGCACAGCTATATTGTATTATTATACGTTTTTTTATACCTGAATGACAATATATCTAGTAATGTATAGCCAAGATTTTGGAGCACCGAGGCAACAGGTGACAAACTCACTTCAAAAGCTGCTCAATAAAAAGTGTTTTCACTTGTGCACCATGTCTGAACCATGTCTTTTGTCACACGTATTAACTCTTTCACACAAATAGAAACACACACACACACACATACACATACACATACACATACATGTACACAGTCTCCCAATGCCTCGCATCCTACATATTTATTGTTCATGACCTTTGTAATTTATAAAGTTACCACCATTTAATTGTGTACCCGTTACAGGTGAATTATGAAATATATGGTGTAGCAATTTTTACTCCTTGTCCTTTCACTGCTGTACGTATTATTATTTCATTCGCACTGCAAAATATATTGCAATCGCTTGTAGCGTTCACGATGATTGAGTAATTCGCAAGAATTTTGTTCTGTGAATGAAACAACAGTAGCACGATGACTCGTGAAACAGGATTTATTCTACTCTGACCGGTAGAGTGCATCATAACTCGATTTGAAAAATAGTTTAGAAAAGCCTCGAGCGACTTTAGAACCTTAAAATTGCTATTACAAATTGAACGAATCCGGCCGATTCCCGAGGCGATTTCAAGAAACTTTGTCCTTTGCGAAAAGTTCGTATAAGGCTTCGTTTACGAGTTATTAGCGAAATACGCGGACCAATTAGAGAGCGAGCATAACGCACGCACGGAGGGCGAGCACAGCGGACGCTCCGCCCTCGCGACCACTCGGAGAGCGATCACAGCGGACGCTCCGCCCTCACGACCAATCGGAGTGCGAGCACAGCAGCTAGCTATCGCGACGCCTGCGTAGGCGTGTCCGTTGTACTCGTGCTCCGATTGCGCGCGTCGCCTGCCAGCCGTGAGGGCGGGGCGTCAACCGCGCCAGTACTCTGATTGGTTCGCGTTTATCGTGAATAACTCGTTAACTAAGCCTCGTAGAACATTTTCGCCAAGGAAAAAGTTATTTCAAATCACCTCAGGAATCTTTCTACGTGATTTCCTACGCATCTGCGTCGATTAACACTTCTTTGTGCTCAAATATTTCCCTGGTAGACCGAGACAATTTGTGTTCAATGCCTCACTTTCATTTCTAAACTTTGTTAACAGGAGACTCAAATTTTGTTTCGACCTAGAAGATGCGGATAACGCGTTCGTCACGAGTCTGCGATACGCTGCAGCCTAGCAGCTGCGTAAACAGTCGTTTACGCGAAGCTGGCAGCCCACAGTCAAGAGCACGAAGCGTTCAGGTCCGCTCGGTCGGCTGTGAATCGTTCGTTTCGCTGGCGAAGTTTCCGCCGCGGCGATTCTGCCCGGTCTTTCCGTGTCGGGCCGCCAACCGTGTCGTCGTAACCATACTTTTCTCCGCTCTGATGGCCTCGGATGAAACGTTGCTGAACTTCGAATCCTAGAAACCCGTAGCTGCCGCGGAGCCGCGAAGCTCCGTCCCTTCGCACGATGCCGTTGATCACTTGCGATTTCCACGACCGAAAAATTCGGTCATTCACCGGCTCGCGTAATCGAGGAGGTGAACGTCTTACGTAGCCGTGTCAGGCAAATGGACGAGTATAAATTGTACGAGCAGATTTTTGTACGAGTTTAATTGTTTTTACCGCGAGCTGATCTGTCGAGCTGTGACGATTTCATTTCACGGTGCGATTGTTACTGGAAATTATGCTTAAGAAGTGATCGTTGTAGTATAAAAATATAATAGAAAATGTATTTGAAGAAAATATAGTGGAATGTATATTTGAAAAAGATAAAGTGAATAATATATTCGAAAAAGATATAGTGAAATATATGTTTGAAAAAGATATAACGAAATAGATATTTAAAAAAGATATAATGAAGTATTTAATTGAAAAGAATATGATGAAATATATATTTGAAAAAATATATAATAAAATATATATTTGAAAGAAAATATAATGAAATATATATTGAAAAAATATATAATGAAATATATATTTGAAAGAAAATATAATGAAATATATATTGAAAAAATATATAATGAAATATATATTTGAAAGAAAATATAATGAAATATATATTGAAAAAATATATAATGAAATATATATTTGAAAGAAAATACAATTGAATATATATTTGAAAAAAATATAATAAAATATATATTTGATAGAAAATATAATGAAATATATATTTGAAAGAAAATACAATTGAATATATATTTGAAAAAAATATAATAAAATATATATTTGATAGAAAATATAATGAAATATATATTTGAAAGAAAATACAATTGAATATATATTTGAAAAAAATATAATAAAATATATATTTGATAGAAAATATAATGAAATATATATTTGAAAGAAAATACAATTGAATATATATTTGAAAAAAATATAATAAAATATATATTTGATAGAAAATATAATGAAATATATATTTGAAAGAAAATACAATTGAATATATATTTGAAAAAAATATAATAAAATATATATTTGATAGAAAATATAATGAAATATATATTTGAAAGAAAATACAATTGAATATATATTTGAAAAAAATATAATAAAATATATATTTGATAGAAAATATAATGAAATATATATTTGAAAGAAAATACAATTGAATATATATTTGAAAAAAATATAATAAAATATATATTTGATAGAAAATATAATGAAATATATATTTGAAAGAAAATACAATTGAATATATATTTGAAAAAAATATAATAAAATATATATTTGATAGAAAATATAATGAAATATATATTTGAAAGAAAATACAATGGAATATATATTTGAAAAAAATATAATGAAATATATATTTGAAGATAAAATATAATGAAATATTATTTTAAGAAAATATAGTGAAATATATAATTGGAAAAAACATAATGAAATATATATTTGAAACAATATATAATAAAATATAGAATTGAAAAAAAAATGTACAGTTACTATAATTGGATGCACGCTAGATAACAGTTGTTTCCAGCGCGAAGAAACGTATCGTCGGGTAATGATTGTGGCGTTGGAAATTAAAATATCCCGCATGAATTGCAAAAACTTAATCCATTAATTATTCAACAATTTATCCATAAAACTGTTCAATAACACAGTTCACAGCGCCCTTTCGAAGACAAAGCCCAAAACAAAATCGCAGTAAAATTTCTTCAGACGGTTGAACAATTCAATTATTTTATTCTCAATTTAATCACCAATCCAAGAATCCATACAACGTCGACAACCTTAAACCAAAAAACGCGCGACCGGTCAAAACGACCGTCACGCTGAATTAATCGTCGAAGTGTACCGAGTAGAGTCTCCTTCAAGGTGAGGTCTCGGATCAACGATTCCTAACGGCGCTTCGAAAGTCCGTAGAAAAGTGAAATTCCCGCTTAACGAGATCCGATCTCGAAGAAGAAAAAAAAAGAAAAAAAAGAAGCGCCGAACTTTCGGATAGAAGATCGCGGGTACCGATTCGCGCCAAATTACCGAATCGAGCGGAAAGTGGCGCAGAAACGTATCGCCGCGTCGATAATCGTTCGCGGCGTCTGCCGATGGCTCTCGGCCGCCGTTCGATTTCTTCGTTCCGTTTCCAGCGAAACGATGCCCGCGGAGGACTCAATCGAGAGTGACAGAACCGTTCAGCGCTCGGACTTTGCACGGTCGGTGAGCAACGGCGTCGCGGAGCCTGCCTGCGGCCGCTGGAAAATATAAATCAGGCCGCGCCGCCGGTGCCGCGAACAGTTCGACGGTGGTTCTCGTTCGAAAATGATTGGAAACCGTCGGTCGCGCATCGTTCGTGAAACAAGACGGCAATTTCTCCACGTCCTGCCCAGCCGGCGACGGACCTGAGCCATTTTGAACCGCGGCGGTGTCGACGAAAAAAGTCCACCGAGGCTGGATCAGCGCCCAAAAACCTAACTCGGCTCGCGATTAGGCATAATATGACCTGACGCGGCGGCCGGCGCATCGATTCGACGGGCCCAAGTGCGATGGCAAGATCCGACTAACGCGATGAGTCGAGCACCGCTTCGGTTGTCGATAGTTTTGCTAGCGTGCCTCCTGGAAACCCGCGCGGAGGCAGTGCCGGGTCATACGAATCCTCTTCGAGAGCTGGACGAGCGTTCGAACGTTGTTCCTTCAAGCGAGGAACGCGTTGGAGCAGTCAGCGTAGATAATTACGTCAAAACCCCAGCGTCGAAGGACACCGAGCCTGCTGAATCCTCGGAGACAGTGGTTTATAACAGGTTCCTAAAGGCACCTGATGACGAAAACGGCGAATTTAATGAACGAGACCCTGAAGAAGGCCCTGTAGAGGACCCTGAAGAAGACCCTGAAGAAGGTCCTGAAGAGCACGCGATACCCTCCTCGGAGCACGAGACCCTGAATGGAGTATCGCCGAAGCCTAGGTACTCTGCGCCAGGGCAATGGGCTAGGCCCAAGAAGGCGAGGAACGCCAGCGAAGAGGATGTGCCGTCGAGGTTGTACGCGCAGGTGCGCCGGACGCACACGGTGCGGCATCTGCCTCGGAGGAAGGCGTTCGAGAACGCAGAGAGCGAGGAGGAGCTGGCGAACGCCGCGAGGTTGAGGCAGGTGGTGAGGAACACGAAGGTGAACACGGTGTACACTGAAGAAGGCTACGAGGACTCGGCGTACGATCATGCAGGTCGGATCAGAGACGCTGACTTCGAGGAGGGCTACGCGAGGAAGAGCCGAGGGCGGCTGGCCGCGAAGAAGGCGTCCGGAAAGGGCGTGGGACATCCTCAAAGAGGCGAGAGGTACAAGGAGAGAGACCCTGAAGAGTTCGAGGACTACGACGAGGACTACGGAGAATACGAAGGCGCCGTGGATCGTGGCAAGGAGGTCAGGGAACAGGCAGAGAGTCGGTGGACGAAGAGCGCATACCCTAAGATGATAGCCGAAAAAGGGGTGAGGGAGCTACAGGGGGACTTGGAAAAGGAGGCTGAAGAGATAGAAAGAGGCGCGGAGATGAACAAGCCGGGAGGTGCTAGCGCCCCCAGCAAACTGGAGTCCGTGACCACCTTGCCTGATGAGGATGATCAAGACCTAAAGAGGAGTCGGGTCGGGAATACAGACAGGCGAGACGCTTATCCGGGGAGATACGTGACTTCTAGGACCCCAGGTGACGAGGAGACGGTCTCCACGGAGCACGGGACCCCAGAGACGACGACCATGGCGAATCACGTCGAAGCTTTAGCGCTGGGACCACCAGAGTCCTATAAGTACGAAGTAGAAGGCGGCTCTCCGGGCGAGATCGTCAGCTTTGAAGGAGTCAGCGAGGCGCCGACGACGGTGAGCTACAGCCAGCTCTTCTGGGACTACTTCATGGCGAAGCAGAATCAGCAGACCACGCTGGGTCCGCTCATAGAGTCGGCTACCGTGAGTCCGGACTTCCTGCTGCCCTCTTCGGGCGTGGAGAACGCCTTCGCTCTTGAGCAGCTATCTACACCGCCCCCCGTGTCCTCGATTCCTCAGAAAGTGGTTGATCCAGCCCAACAACAGCTTGTGATCTTAGAGGATCAACGCGTCGAGTGGCCAGCGGTCGACATCCAAGAGCCACCTAAGCTAGGCCCAGCACAGTACCCAGGAGCGAATGTTGTCGGAGACCTGGTCGTCGACTCCATCAGCAGCCTGGACAGCACGGAAGCGAGCTTCGCGAGGGCCTTAGCCGACACACTGACCTTCCGCAGGCCTAGGTACAAGATCACCATGCGGCAAAGGCCGGTTGAACCCTTCGAGGCTGTGGCCACGACTGCTGATGGCGAGGGTACGACCCCGGCGAGCGTGGATCCTAGGTACGCGAAGATGCTGGCGCATCTGAGAAACGAGGAAGGACAGAAACTTCGTTCCAGTGCGCCGGGGAACACTTTTCACTTGTACAGGGTCAGCGAGGGCTTCGCGGGACCTGTGCCGCTGAAGGAAAATAGCTACCAGGGTCCCCAGGGTCTCCAGGGTTCCCAGAATCTCCAGGGTCCCCAGGATCCTTATGGAAGCGCAAGGTCCACGCTCGGGGCCCTTTTGCCGGCGGCCCATTCACTGAGGACGCCTCTAGGCCCGCCTTCGCTGAGGTCGTCTCTATTAGGGCCTCCTCCGTTGAGGTCTCCTCCTCCAGGGCCGCCTCCATCGAGGTCGTCCCCATTGGGTCCTCCTCCGTCGAGGACTCATTCTTCAGGGCCGCCTTCGCCGCAGTCAGCTCCCATTGGGCCGCCTTCGCTGGGCCCACCTTCGGCGAGATCAGCCTCTCTACCCTCGCTGCGGCCTGGCCCTCCGCGAAGGGCCGCTCCGCCCAGCAGCCTGCTGCCACCGGACCGCAGCAGGGCGTACAAAGAAACGGGTGGTTACGTCCACGGCGGAACGAGGCCGGCGCGCAGCAGGCACGTTCCCAGGCCGGTGTTCCGACTGGAGGCGGTCGGCGGCTTGCGGGCAAGAAGGCGCGAAAGAAGAGGCGCTGACGAAACCGGCGACGCCGGGACAAAACCGTCGCGCGCCGTGGCGAATCCGGGTGAAACGGAGCGGGTGGCGAGAGGCCCGAGAAATCCGTTACGGAAAGTGACACGCAGCGCGGAAGCGGAGCCCGAGACCGCTGTCGATGCCGTTGGCGAGGAACCGCGCTCCGGCGAGAGCGACTGGGGTGGGGGGTCGCGCGCGACGGCTGCTGGCGGAGCCGCGCGGACTGTGGACAGTGACTCAACGGGGGAGGGCGCAGTGGCACCGAGTGAGTTAGACGGCGCGCTGGGCGATAGTGCGGCGGGAGTGGGGGAAGCGCCGGTGGCGCGGAACGACGACGTGACGGCCGGAGTGGGGGGCACGCCGGTGGCGCGGAACGTAGACGGAAAGAAGTTGGAGTCGGGAGCTGCGAGTGAAGGCGTCGCGCGGAAACACGGCGGCGGGGAAAGGAAATTTCGGCCGAGAGCGAGCGAGACCGAAGCAGCGGGTGGCAAGAAAATGGAAAGTGATAAAACCGGTGAAAAAGCGGGCGCCGGGGACACGTCCAGGCGCAAGAGAAGTCGTCTGGACGTGGACGAAAAAGACGACAACTCCTCGCACCTCGAGCTTAGAGCAGAAGAAAGCGACAAAGTCTCCGTGCATGAGAACAAGGCTGGGTCAACGTTGAGAAATCACGAGAGCCTGTTGGAGGAGTCGCCGAAGATAACCGACGGCGTGATCGACGACGAAATCGAGGCCCGATTCAGCGACGACGAGCGAAATGATGACGACGAGGACGGGGAAGTGGAGGCGGAGGTGCCAGACCTTCCGGACTTCGACTACGTGGAGGAAGCGACCCAGGAGGCCGAGCCCGTGGCAACCACCGAAGCCAGCTTGGACACGGACAAGTACCCCTTCTACGAGAAGCTGCCGAGCCCCTCGGCCCTGCAGTACGCCACAGACCCTCGAAGAGTGCCTGGGAAGACGTTTGGGCGAATGAACTTCTACAGGTCCCGGGACCTTTACAAGCACTGCGACGAGGTCGAACCGAGCTTGGACGTCCTGCCGGAGGAGGAGCGACCGGTCGCCGAGAAAGACGTGAACCCAAATCCCCAGCGTCTGAAGGGTCTGGGCGACAAGTTGGACTGCTTTAAGGCTAAGTACTTCGACGACGAGCCATTCGACAACCCGCTGTTCCTGGAGAAGGAGGTGGGGGACCCCATGCCAGCGTTGGAGGTAGGGTCGAAGCAGTTCGCCTCTAGGATCATGCTGTTCCCGAAGGAGGACGAGCAGAGCGTGGTGCAGAAGTCGTCGAAGAAGCCGGAGGACAACCTCCGGAACCACCAAACCCAACGAAAACAGCGCAATCCGGACCCCGGCAAAGGCAGGGCCCCGAAGACTCGCCGCATCCGCGTCAAGAGCTATCCTAGGCAGGTGACCAGGCCCCGGTTGGTCAGGATTAGGAGCAGCAGTGTGAGATATGTGAGGCCGAGGAGGCCCCAGAAAGTCGTCAGGAGGCCGCTCGCCTCAGCTAGTGACCTGTCCTCCTCGTACACGCCCTATCAGAACCAGGTGTACGAGGACGTCATGGGTACGATCAAGAATATGGCCAGCTCGTACCAGGTGGAGGAGGTCACCACGGTTCCGTCCTCCAAAGAGAACCCAGGGACCAGCGAATCCAGCACCAGCGAGTCCTCAAACGCCACGAAGACCGCGAGGAAGGAGAAGGACAGGAAGTCCGCTAACAGTGACGAGCGTTCCAGCAACTCGAGCAGCGCCGGGATGCCTCCGCCGAGGCACTTCAGCAGGCACAGAGTCGCCTACAAGATGACCAGGGTGCCCCAGAAGGGCAAACCCCGGGTACAGCTACTACAAGTGACGCCCAACGGGCTGAGGCCTGTCAGTCGTCTTCAGAGGATCATCAGATACAAGCGGGCTGCGGACGACGTCCAAGGCTCGGTCGAAGGTTTTGCCGAAGGCTCCGTCGAAGGCTCCGTCGAAGGCTCTGATGAACTTTCTCCCGGAGATACACCAGGCAAGGAAGCAAAGTCTGAAGAAACCAGAGAAGCCAAAAAGTCAAAGAGCAAAGTGGACCTAAAGATCTCCCACCCAATCGAAGGTAACAGCACCTCGTCCTCGACGAAACTCGAAGGAACATCCAGAGTCCCGCAAACTGACCCCTCGACCGAGCAGCGTCCCAAAGTTGTCTATACAGTGGGCGATCGGATCAGATTCTCGAGGCCGAAGGCGGAGCCGAGCAGGTTCGGGAAGTTCGCTAACGGGAGCGAGGTAGTGGCGGATCGGCGCAGGAAGGAACCGAGGTACAACTATATCAAGCGGAGGAAGCCGGCTTCCAGCCAGCTTTCAGCTTCATCCTCGACATCCACAGAGCGAGTTCCGATTGCCACGACGATCAGCACCGACGAGGTCGCTGTTCCCGAGGCGACCCAAGAGGACAGGGACATTAAAGACTTCGACTCGCAGCTTCCAACGTCGAATGCGCCAGCAGAGTCCCATCAGGTGGCGCCGTCGATGGAGCCGAACAAGACTGGCGCTGCGTACGCTGTCCGCGAGGACCTGAGTGAGGAGCAACCTGGGCATACGACAGGGTTAACAGGGTCCACAGAGTCAACAGGGCCACTAAGGTCGACAGGGTCAGCAGTGTCCAAAGAGTCAAAAGGGTCCCCAGAGTCGACAGGGTCAACAGAGTCAGCAGGATCAACTGATCAGCCAGAGTCCTCCAGGCCTAGCCACCTAGACTCCGTCGCCTCGAGCTACGACTTCTCCTCGGAGGAGCTGAAGGCGTCGCTTTTCTCTAAGGCCAAAGACACCTCGCCTCCTAACTTCAGCGACTCCAGTGAGCAAGGTATCCCTAAGCCTTCGCGCCGACCTTTTAACGAAGGCTCCTCTAAGAAAGCAAAGAGCAACTCGGGACCAGGCGAGGAGTCCTCGGAGGAGGACACCTCGAGGAGCAGCAGCTCAAAGGAGGACCGGTCGTTCTTCAGCTATTGGTCCAGACCCTCGTCGCCAGCGGAGAGCTACGAGGACGAGAAGTACAGGGAGCTGGGCCCCAGGGTGAACAAGCCAGAGTTCTTCCATCCTCCCTTCTCGTTCCTGCGATCAAGGAAGGCGTCACCTAAGAGCAGCTCCGAGGAGCACTCAGCAGAGTCCCAAGAGTCCGCGGAGAAGGAGGAGTACGTCTTCCCGTGGCACAGAGACAAGGTCTACGAGAAAAGGAGGCGCAAGCGTAATAGGAACTATGACAACCCTATGGGGGAGTACGAGTATCCCTGGGACAGACGGGAGCGCTTGGCCGGCGAGGGGAGGGGGAAGAGAATGAAGAGGAGACGGCTGGCGCAGAGCGAAGAAGAGGGCCGCAACAGGGGCTACGAGACCAAGTATCGGAGGAACGTGTACCCAAGAGGTAAAGTGAGGTACTGGAAGGACTCTGAGGAGGAGGGGGAGTCCCCGGACAACGCGGAGAGCAGCAGCGAGCACCGGCCGGTGAAGAAGTACAGCAGTAGGTACAGCGCGAAGAATCTAACTCGCGGGAGTCCTCGGTCGAAGAGGGTGCAGGAGATTAGCAGGGCTATTAAAGAGGCTTTGGAAGGAGACCCTGGTGACACTTTCGAGGCGCTGAGCTCCGGGGAGAGCGAGGGTCTTCCTAATCGGACTCAGAGCTCCAGGGATGTTGAAGAGACAACTGTGGCGCCGGAGAAAGTGGATCCGCTTGATCTGGTTAAGAGGAACGAGAGTTCCAGCGGGTCGCTGAGGAATTCGTTGGACAACGCGGAGTCGCGGCTGGCGGTGAAGAAGGCGAGCGAGGCTCTTCTCGCGAGGAAGGAGGGGAACACTGAGGCGCAGCCGAGCGGAAAGAGACGCAGACCTGCGAAGAATCTCTCCGGTGTAGAAACTGCGGCAAGAAGCGCCGCAAATCGCGGTCGGAGGAGGCAGAAGCCGAGCGTGACTGCGATCGGCGCGACCGCGGCGCCTAGGGCGGCGAGGAGAAGGGCCTCGAAGTTGGTGGGGGACCAGAAAGTTTTGAATGATTTGGGCAGCGATGGCCCAGAGAGGGTGGAAAGCTCGGTGTCGGGAAATCGGACGAAATCGAACGTGTCCCAGGGAGTCGGTGCGGCGAGGAGAAGTGGAATTAGGGGGGAGAAAAATTGGACAAGAAAAAGCACCGATCGGGAGATGAAAGAAGAGACGATGAAAAGTGCCGATCAGCAGACGAAAGAAGAGCCGAAGAGAAGTACCAATCTAGAGACGAAAGAAGAGCCGAAGAAAAGTACCAATCAGCAGACAAAAGAAGAGCCGAAGAAAAGTACCAATCAGCAGACAAAAGAAGAACCGAAGAAAAGTACCAATCAGCAGACAAAGGAAATGAAAGATAAATGGAGCGAGCTTAAGAATGACGAGAAAGGGAATATGACAGCTGAAAGCGAATCTGTCGATGGTGAAAAGGAGTTCGATTGGCACGGTGGAGAGGATCTCGGCGACGATGAGGAAAGGAAATCGGTCGACGATGACGGAATGTTCGTTTTCATGGACGATAGGATTGATGCTCTGAGCGATTTTGCTAAATCCGACGACGTTCCCGGCGACAACGATGAGTTCGAATTCGATGGTATCGTTGAATCTAACGCGACCGTGCCGCGCAATCGAGCGGGTCAACTGTCTACTCAAGAATCGAGGGAGATCGTTTCGACTAAGTCTTGGATATCGCAGAACTATAATTTCTAAAGTACAGTGATTTTTCTGATTCGCTGGTTTTTATTATTTTTATCACTATTATTTTATTATTTTCTTTTCTTTTATTTTTTTTTTCTATTTCATTTTGTTTTTTATTTTATTTTATGCTATTTTAATACAATTTTATTTTATTTTATATTCTATTTTATTTTATTTTATATTCTATTTTATTTTGTTTTTTATTTTATTTTAAAATAAAAACGAAATGCTTGATTTCAGGATTTTTCCTTTTGGAGAACAACGGCTTCCGTTTTGCTAGGAGATCTTCAAGGTGAGAACCGCGAGCTGTAAATCGATATCGATTCCGTTCCGCGACCGAGCAGCTGAAGAAATGAAGAGGCAGACCGCAGTGAAAGGGAAAAGGAAAGTGAACAGAACGATATCGAATAAAGACTTTGTTTTTCTGTACCCGTACACTATTAAAGTATCTTAACTACCTATTATCGTTCTTCTTATCAACGTGAAACTACGACACGTGTTTTGTTACTTGATGGTAAATTGTAATAGTGATTGCTTTGAAACAGCGATCGATTTGTTGCTGCGGTCGTTTAATAGCAATTCATCTGTTATAGCGATTGTTTCATAGCAATCGATCTGTTGTAGTAATTGCTTACTTACAATCCGTTTGTTAATGTAATTGCTTAATAGCAATCCGTTTGTTATTGTAATTGTTTAATAGCAATTCATCCGTTGTTTCTGCTGTTGTATATAGATTCGATAGCTATGAATAAAGGTAGACGTTGCATGAACCGTTGCTCGTATTATACTTCGTGTGCAGTGAGAAGATTGAAGGTCTTCGGAATCAGATTTAATATTAGACAAACTTAGAAGTGGATTCTGTCGTAATGACGCTGGTGTAGCAGCTATTTCTTTATGCTAATATAAAAAATTAGATCAAACTTGATCTTATCGAATGAATTTTAGAATCGACTATAGATTGAGTTATATAGAATGCAGTATAGAATGAACTATGGAATGTAGTATATGCAATGGAGTATAGAATGGACTGTAGAATGAAGTATAGAATAAAGTATAGAATGAATTACATAAAACAGACTGTAGAATAAAGTGTCTAAAATAAAATATGAAATACACTACAGAATGAACTATGTAATGGACTATAGAAATATGGAAAGTAATAGGGCGATTTAGGATACATTTGACTCGCTTCAACACGTAACGTGTCATTATCCTCTATGTCGTTATGAACATACTAAACTGTAATTGCTATTTATAAATTCAGCCGTTGAAAAATTAATTAAAAATTCATCGCTTATCAAATGATATGAAAATAACATAAAACTGATGACTTAAAAAAACAACTGACATTTTATTGTCTTAATAAAGTTAGTCATTAATTAACGACCGATTAGACATTATTTCGTTAATTAGTATCCAACTATTTTATCAATTAAAATATCCGAGTAAATATTATTTCATGAATTAATATCCGACCAGTTATTATTTCATTAGTTAATATTCAACCAATTATTATTTCATTAGTTAATATTCGACCAGTGATTGTTTCATTAATTAATATCCGACCAGTAATTCTTTCATTAATTAATAACCGACCAGTAGTTATTTCATTAATCAACATGCGGCCACTTATCACTTCACCATTGCATTTCTGTATGTCGAAATGTTCTGGGAACGTGCTTATTTCGCGAAAATCTCCAGGACGACCTCGACCACCTATTTGGCGGAGAAAATACGCGGCCGAGGCAGGAAACGTTCTCGGGCTGAAATGGTTAGGAAAAGTGGATTCGCTCGGCTGGAAATAAGGCGGACATTGTGAGAGGTGTGTCAGCGGCGGCGAAGGTGAAGGTGGACGTTATCCTCGATTTCCATACGCTGCGCTGCGTTCTAATAAAATCCAGCGGGGATCTGTAACATTCGGCGCTGAAAGGGAATATGTAAACGGCTTTTCGATTGGCCAATCGAGTGGCCGAGCCCCGTATATAATTCGATCTTTACTTGACCGGCTTAGTTTACTTCTGTCCTCGCGCCGCGACTAGGGAAAGGTCAATATGCTACCTTTGAAGGTACGTTTACGCGTGGCCTCAACGGGGATACCCATTGTACTCGGAAACTTTCCGTCGCGGCAACAACGGTACTCGGTATTTAATGCATAATTCGGTGTCTCGTGCTTCTCGTTTACTGTGATTAGAAATATGAAAGTTTTAGTGCCTAGTTAACCGAGACTTGACTTTATATAAATTTGTATTAAACTTGTAAATTTATATTAAACTCATAAATTTATATTAAACTTATAAATTTATATTGAATTTATAAATTTATATTAAACTTATAAATTTATATTGAATTTATAAATTTATATTAAACTTATAAATCTATATT